TTTTTTTTCCGAGGATAATAAAACAGATATAACCCGAACTCAAATGATACAAAGTTCGAGTAGCCAACGGACTATAAATCAACCCGAACAACTAAGAAAAAGCTGCTCGGGCTAAATCAGGAAGAACATTACACAAGTAATGTCTCCTCACCGGCCATAATTGGCCTCACTCCAAACTAACTTATAAACAACAGGGTCACATACAAAATCAAAGTTTCAATTTTGGTCTCACTGTTAATTTATTTAGCTGATATCCTAGCTACTAGGGGTGCACAACATTTGGTCAACCGACCGAAACCGAAATTTCGGTTTGGACCGAAACCGAAACCGAATTTTTGATTTGGTTTTCGGTTTGTATTTTTAAATTTTCAGTTTTTGGTTCGGTTTGAATTTAAATGTTCGGTTAACAGAACTGAACCGAAAACCGATACTATAAGTCCATTTTTACTTTTTAGACCCAATTTATTAAAAAGTATTGAAAAAAAAAAAAGAAGCACAGGGCAGCCCAACCCAACCCTTTCATACATTAACAATTATTAGTACATAAGCCCTTAGCCGTACGTATTTTTTCTCCTCATCAGCTCATCATCTCCTCAACTTCTCCACCATCTCCACCATTATTTTTTTTTTTATTTTTTTTTTGTTAGTTCGCTGTGATTTGAAATTAGAACTGAGATTTGTTGAGATTGTAACTAAGGATTTTTTTTAACGGATAACCGATAATCGAATCGATCCAACCGATAGATTTTCGGTTAAAAACCGAACCGAACCATAAAGGTTCGGTTTTCGGTTTGAAGGTTGGGCAAACCAATATTTCGGTTAACCTACTAGCTACTTCGTTAGTTGTCGTTTAAAGAGAACTAGTACGTATCCCCGTGCGATGCACATGCTGCATTTATTTTGGTAAAATTATAATTGAAGGCTGCTAATCAATAAGTTATAATACATAGAATATTTGTTAGGTAGTCGTAAAATGTTCATAATGAAAAAGTCATACATCATTAAAAACCTCGTTTTTTCATGCAAAATTATTTTGCACTTGACAATCGTAGATTGAAAATTACCAAGATTGATCTCCACTTGGTGATTGCAATTGCATAAACACATTTTTCCTTCAATTTTTTTTGTTGATTTTTAGAATGTTACCACCATGAAGTAAAATTGTAGTGAAAATATGTAATATTGTGTATATACTAAATATATCATTTATCTGGTGAAGTTTAATTTTATATAGAATATAAGAAAAATTGTTACCTTAAAGTGTGGATTTTGAATATATTTTTTTTATTCAACCATTCTCATTTTTTATGCCAAATTCATTCCAATATTGAGAACAATTTTGTTTCTGTTATGCTTTAAAAGAGATTAGAAATTTTAATTGTATCTTTTGTAATACAATATTTACAAAAATAATTAGTAAAAAAACCAAAACCATATTTTATCATTAGTAGCTCAAAATTAACTAAATGAATCGGAGGACATGTAAATCACGGTTTTAATTGAAAAAAAAAGTTTTATAAATAAATTGATAAAAAAATAATTCGAAATGATAAAAAAAAGTGATAATATAAACAAAAAGATAGTTTATGTGAGTAGTGGAATAGTGAATCGAGTATTGTGACAATTTTAAAAAAACATGTTACCATGATTAAAATGAAATCTTTACAATATTTTTTACTTTTAGTTAAGTTGCATATATTGCATAACTATATGGGAAAAAAATAAAAAATTTAAATTTCAAATATGTGATTTATTTATATGTATATAATAAAGTATACGGTCCAAATGATTAAATTTTATTTAGCATTTATATTACTAATATTGATACCATTATTATTATAAAGTCATACTCTCATATATACGGCAAATTTGTATTATATTAAAATGAATTGATAAATATAAAATGGGATATAGATTGAATTAAAATGATTGAATCGTAGTTAAATTATTTGATTCCATAATTATACTGCTTTTACAAATATAATCCATAATATTTGATTCCATACTAATATTGCTTTTAAATAGAATTGATTTCAAACTGCCAGACTTAGTGTTTGATCAAATATTATAGAGTATATTTTTAAAACAATAAGTCTGATTGTTAAGGGAAGTTAAAACTGATTACAATTAATGCCTCAAGATTTGTTTCAAGGAATTGTGTAAAATTACAATAATTAGTCGTAATTAATGCATAATGAAAAGAAATGCTTACTATATTTGATTTAAGTCTATTCTTATTTTATATACTAGTGCAGAGCCCGTGCGATGCACGGGGTGCACAATTTTAGGGCTATTTAGCGAGGATTATTATGATATCCATGAATAAAGAAAAATGTGCGAGATATATATAGTACGTGCCTGTGCAATGCACGGGATATATTTATTTGGAGAATATTATATTATAAGATGCAATATTAAATAAAGAGATTTATAATACGTAGATAAATTGTACAATAAGATAGTATTCGAAAAAGATATAATCATATATTATTAAAGACCTCCTTGTACACAAAATTATGAGATTGATTATTGGTCAACTCATTATTCTCACAAACTAATATCTTCAACCCCCTTCTATTAGTTACACGTGAAATAACAACATGTAATAAAGATATCTAATGAAATGGTAACCTGTACCTTTTCTACAAACATATTAGACTTTTTCATGTTAAGAATAAATAATTGATTAGGAAAAAATGTAGAAATTATTAGAAAAACAAAACAACGTGGTTAGAATTAGATTAATAAAAATACTTCATGGGTTGAACATTTAAATTAAATAATTGAAATAATTGAAAAGTAATATTAAATGATAGGTATTATCTGAAACGTACAAGTTGCATGATTAATACCTATGGTTGACCAGTTTCTTCATAGTGGTTCTTGAAAGTCAAAAGTTTGTCTATACATATTCACCCCAAACCGTGCAATTTACGAAATTTTCAATGCGTTAAATAATAAAATTGTCAGATATGTAATGCATATAAAAAAACTATATAATTATAATTGATTATATTGCAAAAAAAAACTGTAGTTAAAAAAAAATTACTTTAGATCCATAAGAATGAATGCAACCATTTGGATATCGTCAGTTTTTATTTGTTTCTCTTGCACACTTTGAATGTCAACAACCAATCCTATAACATCTACAATAAAAAAACCAATATGTTATAATCTAATTACTTTGAAATAAACAAATAAAATTAGAAACAAAATGAAATAATCTTACCGAATAACATTGATTCATCGATTTTGTTGACATATTGCAGAGTTGCATAGTCTTTGAATTGAAATACATGAAATTCTTCCTTGCACTTTGTAAACATAGTGCTCCCGTGCAGCATAATCTTAAAATCACCGGATGTCGAATGATACTTCCCTATATTGTTGTCCACTTGATAATTTATTATACAAATGACCATGCCCTCCTCAAAATTCCTCTCTCTAAACGGACCCAAATTGATTGCCTGTAGCCATGCCGTTATGCAATTACCCTAAACATATACGAAAAAGCAATCAATGAAAAAATAATTTGTTTTAAAAACGTAAAATACGTATATTATATATACACGAAAATATATGTTTGATATTTCGGAAAAAAAAAAGTAAAAATAATTTGGCTTACAGTTTTATCAGGTAAAACCAACTCAAGATAGGATTTGTATATGCTGCGCGGTCTTGGAAAGACATTCTTACAATTCGAACTTTAAGCATACGTCTATTAAACCTATTAACTTGTTTGATTAAGTCAAATTCTTGATTCATTGTTATGAATGGCACACTAATTGGATTTTTTTTTTCGCAGGTGGTTGAAAGTGAGGAACACACTGGTTCAATATTTAGAGATTTATAATTTATAATTGCATTATCACATTATATGTAGAGATAATGTGAAGGAAATCATATCAGATAATTATATGTAGGAACAAATATGATCAGATTTATATCGCATTATATATCGCATCATAATTATAATTGCATTAAATAAAGATTTTCCATACAACAAAACAATTCAATTTAGGCGTGAAATCTGATTTAATTTTGGAAGAAGTTTTTTTTGTTGACCGATCAAAACTTTTTTTTACTGGTTTAGTAATAAGTAGAATGCATTAAATAAAATAAATAATAAGTAAATAAATAAAACTATTGATGGAAATAGCATGCATTAATTGTTTTTTGACTTTTCTACCTACTAATTTTAGTGAATGAGATGGCTTATTATATAAGTATAGATATTGATTAGTACGGTACTTGTGTACAGGAACTTGAAAAATAATTTTTTTATATAATCAGAAGTGAAAGTAACCCAAAAATGTATATTATATTTATAAAAATAGATATACAATAAAAAAAATATACATATATGCATATACACCCTACAAAAATGATAATAATAATAATAATAATAATAATAATAATAATAATAATAATAATAATAATAATAATAATAATAATAATTAATTTATTAGTTAAATATAAATATTTTTAGTAATAAAATTCAATACTTTTTATCTCATTATTGTTAAAAAGAAATAAATTTAATTATTAAACAATTTATTTTTTTCATATTTGCAGGGTGTATATGTGTACATGTGTATTTTTTATAATAAAATAACTAAACTAGTAATAATTATTTTAAATAACATGTATTTTAAACGCAATTTAACAATAGCAATTATTATTATTTTAATCACATTTATAAGATTATGTATATCTATACTTATATTAAAGGGGATCCTATTTACTAAATATAGTAGGTAGAAAAGTCAAAATTAATTAAAGAACGTCTACTCTTATCAAGTAGTGATTAATGCATTTATAATTTTAATCAAGTATCCTATTTACGTATTGTTTTTAATCCTTCTTATCTTGATTTTCAAAATCCCATAAAATCGGGTGAGCAAAAATAATCAAGATTCTGTACGTAAATCTATTCTATAAAATCTTTTATTTAATGCAATTATTAATTTATACTTATATAATAAGGTATCATATTTATCAAATTTAGTAGGTTGAAAAGTCGATGCAATTAATACATTGTTATTTCTATCCAGAATTTTATT